GTGATCAGAAAGTCACAGGTTCAACTCCCGGTACCGTCAACATAAAAATGTGGGTGAAAAATGGTGAAACACCCACACCTGCCTCCACCCTCATTTGTTCCACTCTGGGCCCCTGAGCAAGGCACTCAACCCCCACCATCTGCTCCTAAACAGGTCTCTCTAGAAAATGATACCTGGATAAATAAAGGGTAAATGAAAAAAAAAAAAAATCAGATTATTTTCTTTTTCATCTGAGTTAATATTATTTAATATGTGGATGTTGTTATACTTTCCTCGCAAAACACAACTAATTTAAAAAAAACAATCAATGATTATATTGAGTTAAAAAAAATCTGATCTCACAACAGGAAATGAACCTCCAAACCACAAGTGAAAATTCAAGTTACTGAAGTTCAGTAAACATTTGAAAAGTGCACGAACTGCAAAAATGGACTGTTTTGTTAGCCACATGGTCTAGAATGGAATCAGAGAAGGAGGATTTTTTGGAAGTAGACTGAACCAGCAAATAAACAATAGGTTGGAAGAAGGATCAAGCCCACTGCCATCCTTCCACATCTATGGAGAATGCTGCTAATGCTAGCGCTGGACAGCTGGAGGATGGAGCCAGCATGGTCAGCGACCTTTGGGCAGTTCCCGGTGAGTCCTCTTTGTGGTGTATCCTGGTCTGATCCACCAGCAGAACCCCAGAAAGACGAGTGGTGTCATCAACACTGACCCGGCAAGGAGCAGAACCTGGTGACATGATGCAACTCTTGGTCTGGTCATCATAGTTTAATCTGATACAACTTGGTAAATCATTTCCTGGTTTGCAGTGAAGATAAATGACTTTATCTGATCAGATTAAATAACTTCTTTCAACCAAAATCCAAAGTAAACTATTTATTAAAATAGTCAAACTTTGTCTAAATTCATGCGCGTCTAAAACTGAAATAATTCCTGCTCAGAGTCAATTTAGTCTTAGATAAGAGAATTAAGCCTTGATTGATTCATTATTATTGTTTGTTTATTATTGTTATTGATTTTTAGTTTGATTATTTTTGTAATAAAAGTTCAAAGACAACTGTGGTCTCTTCATTCAGATAAATATTCATGTGTTCTGGTAAAGAACTCCCTGTAATGAACAGATTCTACTTCAGTCACTGATTCTGATCATTAAAGGGTGAAAATATTAATGAAGTTGTTGTTGGTCAGTAAACTGATCAGCTTGTGCTCCACTTTAAAGAGAGCTAAATAAATAAAATAAATGTAGTGGAGAGAGTGTCACTCTTCTTCCTCCTTCTCACATCCTTCTTATTGCTACATACATGTACGTAGATATATATATATATATATTTATGATGATGATGATGATAAGTACACTACTCTGAACAAAACTGTGAGTGGCATGTGCTCTAAAAAAATCTGTGCCCCTTTTCCCAGTTGACCAACAGGTGTGTTTTAAACTCTAAAACATTTGTAATATAAACTTAACAATATGTAATCAATCAATTCCAATCAAAATATCACAGCAGCTTTATTTGAATACTGTAAATGTTACTCGTCAATACAATGTAACAGTTTTAAAAAAATTAAAGACTGGTGTTTTTTGTAGAAACAGAAAAACATATTGCTAAATCTGCAGTTATTTATGAAATATAATCTTAAAATATCATCAGTGGAATCTTAAGCATGTGCTTTAATCCTGTGTTAGTTTGGCTGCTCCAGAACATGTAACAAACAAAACTGATTCTGATTTTAAAACCTGAATTACAAATTTAGCTGTCTAAAAATCTTGACTTAAAAATGTGCAGTCTAAACACATTTAATTGTTAATAGCGATAAACAGTAGCTATGTTTACTTGGACATAAGTGATCGGATCAAACGGCCGTTCGGAATAAAAACGCATCATGTGAACACACCGTTCGTGTTATTTTTTTGTTTATTCAGTGTGATCCGAAATACTTTGTGATCAGAACGAAATGGGTGGTTTACACCAATTCATAACCCAAACGGTGCGCATGTAAACACTTGATCTGTTCATTTTTATCTGATGGTGAAAAACTGACCTGACCATGTGCGGCCTATGTCATTTCCGCCTGGCTAATGCTAATAATATTAGCATGGCGAGGAAGTAAAACTGGTCGGTGAGTGACACAACATTTTTACTAGAAACTTTGAAAGAGCTCAAAATGATCTGTATTACTGCAGCTCAGTCAGGGAGTGCAGTAACTTCTCCACAATCATTAAAACCTGTTGCGGGTCCATTTTGGTGCTCAGGTTTGTTTACGTTCATCCCGGAAGTAGAACTTCTTCTTCTGTGTTTTCTTTAAGGAGAGTTTATCACTCTGCGCATGTCAGTACTTCTGTTAAGAATAAAAGAGCGCTGCATGTATATTATATATATTATGTATTATATTGTATATATATAAAATGTATATTGTGTTCTAGAATTGCGCTGCTCAAGGTGGCTGCATGTTGGAGCAGCTCTGTTACTTTCATTTTGAGATTTTGCTTTTGGAAACTTTAATTCCTCTTTTTCTGGATGTGGGTCACATTGTTTGGATGATTGTTTCCTCTGGTATCAGATGCTGAGCAGCTGGAAGGATTTTTACTGAAACTTTTTTAGTTTTGGACATTTGTTATGATGCGTAACCATGGCAACAAGGCAGTTTTCTACAACCAACAGCAGCTGATTAACATCTCAAAAGCTCAAATAATATCTCAACTACAGCCCCAAATCTCAAGTGAGTTGGAAAGGATGTTCTGTGGATGCATTCTCATCTACCTGCCAACTGTGCTTGGAGTACCTGACCACTGAGATCCTGGAACTAGCAGGAAACACGGCTCATGACAGCGGAAGGACAGGATCGTCCCTCAGCACCTACAGTTGTCTGTCCACAGCTATGAGGAGCTCGGCAGACTGCTGGGAGGAGTGGCCATCGCTCTGAGAAGAGTTCTCCCCGGCATTTGGGCGGTTCTACAGCCTGGGGGAACCGAGAGGTCAGTCGAGTCTGGGTGGACGGATCGGACGGCATCTGCAGCCAGTTTCTTAGGATCCACTGTGGGATGGACCTTTACAAGAGATCCTTCCTGTCTACAGCATCAGCATCTATAACATCTCTTAATGAAATGAGGATAACGAGCTACAACAACAAATAATTTCCCTCTGGGATTAATAAAGTATTTTTTAATTGAATTGAATTGAATTGAATGAAAACGCTTGTTATGAACAGATTGTGTCCATGTAAACAATACATATGAATTATTTAATCTGAAAACATTTCAATCCAGTCAAAGAATTTTGTGCATATAAACATAGTGTGGTTATTTATTGTTTTTAACAGTTGGTGTTAGTCCTTCACTTACTCCATTGACTCTGCGCTCTGTGATGTCTGACAGTAGTTTACCTGGACATGTATATTTTTTGGCCAATAGCTCAGGTAAAAATGTTGACCTATAGAACATTTCTACATTTTTCACAGCTTCAGTAAAGAATCACATCAGACACAATCCTCTGAATAAAGTAATCTGACCCAGACCACAGCATGAAGTCACAGTACTCCTGCTCTGTCACAAACACCTGAGCTTGTACCTGGTGCACCTGTGTGACCTCTGTGTGACCTCTGCTGAGTTCATAGGACCCGTTTGTGTTGGCAGTGCAGAAATGTTTCTTAACTGAGGCACCGAGGACTCCAGCATCTTTGGCACAATGTGGACATTTTATTTTCCAAACACCATCACCACAGCAGGTGCAGGAGAGCAGAGCGTCCGGAGAAGCTCCGAGGTCTGGTCCGCTGCAGTTGATGTGTAGTCTGGAGGCACAAACTCTCAGATCCTGATGCTGCGGTCCAGTGATGGCTTCATATGTCTGGCTGGCTGTTTTCACATCCCCATCTGACAAACAAGAAAAAATTAATTGTTATAATCTCCTCTAAACATCATTATCCTTTGTTTTTATCTGTAATTTTCAAGTTTTGAATGTTTGTGTCATGACATACTTGCTTTAAAGTGCAGTGATCACACATTACTGTCCCATCCTTCTCCAAGGACACCCGTGGCTGTAGAGGATCTTCAGACATGGACTGACTGATTAACCTGAAATGATACACATTACATGTTAATACAGGTCTGTTTAGTTAGTGCTGACGATCATATGTTTCACTATTGTGGACATCTGCTGGTGTTTACTGACTGTAAGAACAGTCAGATGTTAGATACAGAGTCAGGATGTGCAATATGGCATAAAATTCATATCCCGGCGATATTGTCTATTGTGATGAGAAGCTACACGAAGCTACACGCTAATTACGACCAGCTAGCTTCTCTACTACTTAGCTCTTGAAGAAAACAGACTTTCACCATTTACACAGTTTTCACCTCCAAAAAAACGTAACAGTAAATATCGCTTTTTACTTACTTCCACAGATAACTTTTAGCTCAGGGAGATGACACCCTGCCCGGCTCCGAGGTTCCAGTGGAGAGGACCCGGGTAGACCGGCGGAGCTTCATCTAGCTCGCTATGAATTTTGTCGTTGGCCAGAAAGCACATAAAAAACTCCAGCACTTCAGCATTAGGCCACAGTGTTGTCATTATTGTTTTTAAAATCTTTAAAATAGGTCCAGCCGATACTCCAGTCCGAGAAATTGCAAATGGCTGATCGGTGTTTTGAAAAGTTTCTGAAAGATCCAGTGACTCCTCCTCCTGACCATTCAGTGACCGACAATGCACTGACGTCACATTTAGGTCCAACAAGAACCAGACCTGGAACCCCAGAGAAGTAGGTCCCAAAAACCAGGCGAACTCCCCCGCTGAAGGCACTGTGGATAAACCATGGAACTGGCCCCAACAGGTTAAATATGGCCATAAAATGACTTGTAGATAAGGGGCTTAGATGTTCTGTCTGGAACAGGTCCCTCTTGTAAATGAGTCCTCGTGTCTCAACGAGGCTAGTCTGTATAATTAAAGGTTGAATAAAAAAATAACATAAAAAGACAAACATGTGACTCTGTCTTCTGTTCCTCACAGTTCAAGTTCAAGTACCTTTTCCATATATGAAGTGAACCAGGCTGGGGGAATTTTGTCTTCTTCTTTGGTTCCTTTCACCTCCTTCATGATAATCTGGTAAAAAAAAAAACATATACATATATATATATATATATATGTGTGTGTGTGTGTGCATACTGTATGCATATAAATTTAAATAAACAAATAAATAATAAATAAAAATATATATATATTTTATATATGTATGGTACTAAATATATATTGTCAATAAAAATTATAGAGATGCATCTTTTAATTAACACTTTAAAACACCAAAGCATAACTAGCATCCATTATTTTTCCAAACTTTGACAATAAAATAACAAATAATAATATATTCAAACTCAAAAAGTCTATAATAGTTTTGTGGAAAAACTTCCTGCTAAAGTGGGTTGAAAATCCAGGGTTGTGGGGCACTCCTAGTCAGAAAGATTACTTTGAACATACCAGTGACGTGTGGTGAGCTTTGTGACAGGTGAGGCACTGACTGTCTGGAATCAAATGTTCACATACTGTATATGAACCCAAAATATAAGCTTATATTTCAATATAAATTGTTTTAAAATTATTAGAAAATGTTTGACACTTGATTGTGCAGAGGTGTTCTTCAACTCAATGATTATTTCACATTTGTCTTATTGAGCTACTGTCTGGTCACAGACTCACCAAGCTACACAAACAACTGGAAAGTCTCTACAATCAGGCCTTGAAGGTTAAAACCTACCAAAAGACAATAAGATTTCATCATTGTAATATTTTAGCTCAGTTCGGTATTCTAGAATTTTCCAATTTTATAAATTACAATTTTTTTGAAATTGATCTCAAATTGGTGGTGAATCAGCACATCCAAATCTGGGGCCAAGGTCCTCAACCGGAAAAGTGTGGATTGCTCTCGTCAGGTCGAGGGTGAGGTTCTGCCTCAAGTGGAGGAGTTCAAATATCTCGGGGTTTTGTTCACGAGTGAGGGAAGAATGGAGCGTGAGATTGACAGATGGATTGGTGCAGCATCTGCAGTATTATGGACTTTGTACTGGTCAGTTGTGGTCAAGAGAGAGCTGAGCTGTAAGGCAAAGCTCTCTGTTTACTGGTTGGTCTTCGTTCCTACCCTCACCTCTGGTCAGGAGCTCTGGGTAGTGACTGAAAGAATGAGAATGTGGATACAGGAGGTTGAAATGAGTTTCCTCTGCAGGGTAGATGGACTCTCCCTTAGAGACAGGGTGAGAAGTTCAGTTATCCAGGAAGGATTCGGGAGCCAGAAGGAGCCAGTTGATGTGGTTCGGGCATCTGGTAAGGATGCTTCCGGGATGCCTCCCTAGGGAAGTGCTTCAGGCATGTCCAACTGGGAGGAGACCCCGGGGAAGACCCAGAACACGCTGGAGAGACTATGTCTCTCGGTTGGCCTGGGAACACCTTGGAATCCTCCCAGAAGAGCTGGAAGAGGTGGCAGTGGAAAGAAATGTCTGGGCCTCCCTGCTCAAGCTGCTGCCCCTGCTACCTGACTTCAGAATAAGTGGAAGATAATGGATGGATGGATGATCTTTTAATGCTTAAATAGACTTGCACCCAAACCATTAATCGATACAGAAACTGCAGGGCTCCAGTAGATCTACCAATGACTGTAAATGGCGACTGTAAGGTTCCTTTTGGTTGAACCACTTTTGTTCAGTTCTCTCTCTGTGAGAGGATCCACACTTTGGAACTGACTCAGTCACTTTAAAGTATGTAACTAGATTCAATATGTTTAAAAAACAAACTAAAGTCTGGCTGTGTCAAAAGCAGCATTGCATTCATGCTTAATGCATTTTATTGTTTTAATCCATTTGTTTTATGTGTATGACTCTGTTTATGTTGTTTTATTTTTAATTATTTTACTCTTTTATTACGATTCCACTTTTTAGTAGTATCTTCGATATCCTGTGTATAAAAGCCCATCTAGGGATAAGTGCTGCAAATTAGCTCATACTATAAACACCATGATACAAGCATGGAACTGCTGCTTTATTCAGTTCTATTTCGTATAGGCTTCGCCCTTTGAGGCTGTCGCTGGTGGGTTTATGCCTAGGCGTTCAGCGCTGCACTGAAAACTTTAGTCCACGCACACCTGCTGTGTGTGGGCCTCACCCCTGGTCTGTTTAAATTATGGTGAGACCGGGAAATCGGCTCCCATTTTTTCTTCAGCCAGCTAGCTAGCACTGTCAGAAGAATGAAGAAGGAAAAGTTGCCCAGCTTTGACCGGCACAACTTTTGCTAAGGATGCCTGGGTCTCCGCCACGCCAACCTCCTACCATCCCCGTGAGCTCTTCCTCCCCGATGAGAAGCAGACGAACAGCCTTGTTCAAGGAATGCGCCGAGTAATGCTTTTCCGTGGCAGGCCGCTACCCGCTGGACGACGCCATCGTCTTTTCTAACATGTTTTTTCCTCGCGGTAATCAAATGATTTCCTCGAAAAAGGCAATGTTAGCAGCAGCCCCACTGAATGTTTTTTTTTTTTGTGGCGGGCCTCTACCCGCTAGACGACGCCACCGCCTTTTCTAACGTGTTTTGTCCTCGTGGTAATCGAATGATTTCCTCAAAAAGGCAATGTTAGCAGCAGCCCCGCTGAATGTTTTTCCATGGAGGGCAACTACTCGCTGGACAACGCCACTGCCTTTTCTAATGTGTTTTTTTCTCGAGGTAAATCGGATGATTCCCTCAAAAAAGGTGTTGTTGGCAGCAGCTCCGCTGAGTGTTTATTTCTGTGGCGGGATGCTATGCGTGGGATGACGCCACCGCCTTCTTTGACACAGAGTCACGCAGTGAACCGAATGATTCCTCCGAGAAAGGCGATGCGGAGCTGCCCCTTCCCTCCTGGAGAACGTAGTGATGGAAGACGAGTGGCCAAGCGGATGCTCAGCCACCTCGGATATTCCCACATTGGCGACCACACTTCTCCCAGTCGTCGGCACCCTCCTCTTGGAGCTGCCCTGCATAATCCAGGAGGATGTTAACACAAGGGACTTTCTGTCCCTCGCCTCCCTCTGCCCTGATTGGATGATCTGGCAGCAAGATTGGCTCCGCCCTGGCTCGTCGCCCTGACCCCATCTGGCCTCGCTGTCCAGCTGTGACGTTATACTGGAACGAGGCCGCAGCTGGGCCTGGCAAGCTGAAGACATCTGTCTCCACCTTCGCCTCCATTTTCAGAGTGGAGGGTTTTACCGAGCAGTGTTTTTTCCCTGGGCAAAGACAAAGAGCTCTCTCTGTAAAGCTGCTGATGTCATCTTAAACATGTGCCACCTCTGTGATCTGCCTGTCCCGCATTGCCGCCTGGATGACCATGATCCAAAAGACCACTTGGCTCTGCCTCTCTCCATCCTTGTCCGAGAGGCTGCAGAAAGACCTGCTGGAGGGCCCCATCACCCCAGAGGTGCTGTTCGGGGCCAACTTCAGGACCATCCTTGAGGAATCGCAGAGGTCCGAGGAGGTCTCAGAGATTGTACACCATCTGGTGAAGTCACAGTCCATAGGCCCCTCCGGCCACTGGAGAGACCGCCTTGGCCAGCAACAGCAGCAGAGGCGCTCCACAGCTGCGGCAGCGACTTCACGCCTCGCTCTTCCGCCGGCCCCCTCCACCAGGTAACAGATCCTTGAGGGGAAGGTATGTGGGTTTTTTTTTGGATGATGTATGTTTTTGATATAAAACAGAAACACCTCTGAAAGTAAAGTTTTTCATCTGAGACTGTCAGATCAGCTGATCTCTCAGCTGCCTCTCTTCACACATTCCCCACACAGAACGAGCCATTAACCTCTAAACAACGTTTTAAATGGCACAGCAGTTCAGTAAATATCACAAAACACTTGTCTGCCACGTCAGCTAAAATGATGGGTTTTTTTCAGCAGACAGAGTCCGGTAAAATCCCTTGTTTTTCAGCGAGAGCCCGTTTTTAATTTCTGCTATTTTCTGCCCACTCATAGCACAGCGGGAGTAAACGTGTTTCTCCACGACAGCTGCAGCTTCCACTGAAACAACGTCTCACTCAGAAAGCGCTCACGCCTCCTCTCGGTGCGCACCGGTTCACCTCAGCTCTATGGGAGACCACAGCCTGGGCCCAGCACAGAGGCACACATACAGCCCTTTTTTTCTGTCGGAGCCCCCATTGGGTTCCCCCGGAGAATCTCCAGAGCGGGTGATGGCAGTAAGGATTTTTTGGTCTGGTTGACGTTCATGAGAAACATGACACAACACAAATGCGTGTCCACTCTCCGAGCGCTACTCAGAGTGGCAGCGAGTGTGTTCCCTGGACAGATGGACAAACCATCTGATCAGAAGGGGTTACACGCTGCAGTTTGCAGCTCAACCCCCACCGTTCAGAGGGATTATAGAGATGGTTCTGTCTTCTCCAGAACAGAGCTCGTCTCTCTAGTCAAAAGATCAGGAATTTCTGATGAAAAACGTGATTTCCAGAGTTCCCAACAGAGGAAAATTGGGGGGGGGGGCTTCCCACTACTTCCTGGTTCTGATTTTAAAAAAAATGGAGGAATGAGATCCATTCTCGACCTGTTCATGTTCAGCAATTCGATCATGGGGAGACAATTCCACATGCTGACAAACAACTGATGGAGAACTTCACCAGAACGACTGTTTTTCACCTCCATAGATCTGAAGAGCGCATATTTTCACATTTCCATCATTCTGAAACACCCCACGCACGTTCTCAAAATGTGTGGAGACGGCTCTGCAGTCATTACACATGGCAGGAATGAGAAATCTTTTTATCTGGACGATCTGTTCTTATTAGCTCGGTCCAGTTAGAAAGCTGTCGCACAGACCAAAACGCTAGTGTTACACCTGCTAAACCTGGGGTTTCTATAAACTGGGAAAAACTTCCATTCATCCATCCCAGATGATTGTTTATCTGGAAGTGGAGCTAAACTCAACTATAATGAGAGCCGTTTATCACAGCTGAGAGCCGAAGCTCTGTCAGCTCAGCTCCGCTGTGTCAAACCCGGCTCTGCCGAGTCAAACCTGGCTCTGCCGAGTCAAATCCTGCAGCATAGTGACAGTTCTGCCTGTTGTGTGATGCCTGGGACGATGTTAG